TACTCTAGTATAGGGTAGCAAAATTCAGCTGAACTAGCTCTGGTATAGGCTAAGGGTTCCAGGGCCCCAGTGGCACACCCCCACCCAGAAATTCCCAAAGTATCCCCCCCCCCGGGCCCTTTCCTCTTGTTCACTAAGACTGATAAGTTTCCAACAAATTTTACTTCTTCATTAAGGAAAAAATACCATTGAGATCACATTGACCCCAAATGTTTCTTCAATGGTATTAAATCTGCTGTGTTAAATTATTTCAATTTTCCCTGACTTTTCTTCAAAATGTCAATTTCCCTGACTCATGATAACTGGCTTTTCCCTGACCTTGAAGAATTTTCCCTGGCCATTTCCTGACCTGTGGCAACCCTGTTTAAGACTGGATGACCTTCAGGTGCCAGCCTGGTGTTAAGTCCAGGAAAATGTAACTACTATAAGGCTGGGGAATATTAACAGTTGGCAAGTACCTTTTTTGTCGGTGTTGAGGGAGCTTCTTCACGATCTTCATAAGATTGTAACAGCTGTTGACTGGACTGTGTTTCCTCACAACTGTCGTCATCAAAATCAATGCTTTGGTTTAAGGAACCATTTGCAATATGCACATCTTCTACACTGTTGATAGATCAAAGGGAAAGAGTTAGTGTTGGCATGACTTAGTAAGAATGACAACATCATCGATCAGTATGCTTTGTATCCACAGAACTAAATCATGTAGCAGGTGCTGAGTAGGAATAAAAGAGAGTGGTTTGGAGTAGTGCAACACGTAAAAAGATGATCTGCATATGCGCTGAGAGGCACAGGTATTTATCTCTGGTTTCTGTAAAATGAAGCCCCTAAGAGTATTTCTACTCCCTCCTGGATGGGATGCTAATCCATCGAAGGGTTACTCCCAGCAATAAATTCACTAGTACCCATTCATACACCTGGGTGGAGAGAGGCACTCTGAAAGTAAAATAATGTCAAGTGCAACACCCGTGGTGAAGTGTTCATTACTTACACCTGCTTTCAGTTTTACGTGCATAGGCAACATCTTTTCACATGCCATCTTTTGACACATTATGTAACCTGGCCTACGTCAAAAATGTAAGCACAACAGACTTCTTTACAGTCAAACTCGAATTTTAGTGGTGAAAGATGGATTTATTTGACATCAAACTACTTAAGGTTAGGAGTATCAAGGTCATTCCAGGAGAAATAAATTGACTGTTTTGAAGGTTTACACCTTGTGAGTATTAAAGGCAGTAATGGCCCAATTCTTCCAGAAATCACTATTGAGAGCCGATCAACTACACTAAAATCCTTTGAATTATCCAGTAAATTGGGAAACATGCAATGTCCCCAATCTTCTTTGGCCATTTGAGGTCAGTGATTATCATTCATTTGTCATTTCTTCTGCTAATAACCAGAAAAAAAATGCCAGTTTCACAGTTAAATGGTCTTTCAGCCATTTTCATAGCATGTCAAAAGATGGCCGAAAGGTGTCACCCGTGAACTAACACTGAAAGCGGGTGTAAGCCCATGCTATGCAGTCTACCAGCTTGGCTGCCAAAACAAAAGCACTTGCGTGCAAAATCTCGCCAGCTTAGTAGGCTATCTTTAGTACTTACTTATCCGTAGAGGCAACACCAAGGCTGTTCAGGGCTTCTTTTGTGGGTGGATATGAATATTCATATGGATCCTACAAAGACAAAGGTATTTTACATCAGATGTGAATCAACCAAAATTATTGTTTCAGTTCTTACTTCATCACATGACTACTATGTTCTCTGGCAGCTTTCACTTTCACCTCATGACAAGAAAACAGATGCAGTTTTACAAATCTTACTCTCTCAATCACCTTTACAGGCACGTAATGTGTGCAGAGTGCTGTCAGATTAATGAGCTTTACTTTATTTAAATAGTTATTCTTAAAGCAGTGACAAGTTCAATTACTCTTGACTGGTAAAATGTTTCAATACTTACTGTTCCACCTAATCTGATAAGAAGTTTGTTTTCATCAATTAACTCTGTAAGTTCTACTCTGCTTAAAAATCTGAAAACAACAAGATAAAATGGATATAAGTTAAACTTGATGTAATTCACAGAGCCTGTGCATTCTTGGTCAGTTATGAGGGTCACGGCATCTGAAATTCAAAAATTTAAGCATTTGCATTCCACTTTAAAAAAAACCTACCAACTACATGATGTAATTATTTGCAACAAAAAGATGAGCTGACACAAACATTAATTTCTGATCACCATACTGACACAAAGAAATCACACCCACTAAATGTAATGATAACTGGTCTGGGTAATAGCAATGATGATATACTATATACATTTAAAGAGAAACACAACACTCTTAAATTTAACAAACATGTTTCCGCAGATGCGTCTGCCATCTTCAGTGTGAAATGAACATAGTGTGCGGTAGAATAAAAAAAGTGAAAAATTACAATAACAATGGTGCCCAGTAATTACAATTAGTAGTTAGAGCGGTTTTCAATCGAGTGTCGTAAAACCAAAACCAAACCAATTACTTACCAATTAGAGACATGTATTCAGCCAATCTCAAACCGTAGTAAAACCAAAACCAAAACCAAACTAATTGCCTAATTACTTTCAACACTCAATTGAAAACTGCTCTTACTAATACAAAAGTCAAACAGAAAGGTTTAAATTAAGGTGTTTAACACATGCATTAAGTGTTGGATTCTCCCAAAGTATGTGTAGTGCTTCTTTGATCTTGGGAGCAAACAGTGAGGCCTCATTATTATATAACTGCTTTTTGCAACAGATGGATTGATATGAGTTCTCAAGAAAATCTTTTGATCAATAGCATCCACAACAAATGTTTGAGGAGCTGCAATTTGCACATATTGCATGCTTATAATTTGAAATAATGTTGTCAAACTTCAGTGTATAACCATGATACTGAGTGCTGTGCGATACTGCTGTACCTGATTTTATTTACAGCTTCAGGGCTCAACCATGACTTGACTATTTTCCATGCAGCTATGGCCGTGAAAAACAAAGCAAGAGAAGTCAGTACTCATAAGAAACGGTCCTTAAATCCTAGGATCCTTTGATCAGAACAGCTGTAGACAATTTTCGTTCTTAAACTAACTGGAATTAAAATTGTTCAAAACAATATCTATTTATAAAAAAAAAAAAAATGATACATTGAAGTCAAGCAGGGAAGCTGTCACCACATGATGGCATTCTACACTAATTAATAATATTATTATTAATAATAATAAATATTCAATAATTTTCAGTTGTTTCCAGTGTACAGCTGTTAAGTTGTAAATACTATTAATGCATACCTGATAAAATCCAGGGCAACTCCACAACCAATAACCATGCTAATAATAAATTAAAGAGAAAATTATTAATAAAAAAAATTTTGAGTAAACATTCAAAGTGACTGACAGGCAACAAAATCAAAAACATTACTCAATCAACATGATAATTTATTGTCCTATTGCAAACAAAATTCTTGGGAAACAACTCAATTAATTATAATAACCATAAATAACTACTATAAATATCTATTATCATAATAAGTGATATTGAAGAGTGAACCACAAACCTAACGTCCAAGGAAAATAATCCCTAAAACAACTAATGACAAATCTTACAAATTCCAGGTCCTACAAAACAAAGTGCACAAAATTTAGGTTATGCCATTAATAGACCTCTTTAGCTTGGGCAGTTTGTTTTCCCATCGTAGACCACATGATATTCTCTCAAGAATTTTTCTTTTATCCATCTTCAAATTATTCGTTCATATACATGCGATTATTTAAAAATTTGAAAGCAAGAATTCGCAAGAGTATCATCATGTGGTCTGCAATGGGAAAACAACCTCCCCAAGCTAAAGAGGTTTACTATAAGAACGAAAAATCAGTCCTAGAAGGCTAATTTTTTTCAAAAAAAACTTTCCTCCAAACTTGATTCTTATTCAATGAAAAAATTTAAATTCTTTGATACTAATTGACTTATACTTTAAAATATTCTCCATCCCGTATTTCAACGAAAAATATTTATAATCATAAATTTAACAGCAACTCTTATATGATTAGTTTGAAGCAGCATTAGATTCTATACAAAATAAAGTTCTTGAAATAATAATGACTGAAAATTTTATTTATTGAAATCATTAATTAATAATTAATTATCATTGATTCAAAGTATACCATGTGTGCTAGACCAGTTTCTTGCATATCAAAGATCATCGTTATTTTTCGGCCAGGAAACATTTTTGCCTGCAAACAGCAATCACACTGAGAATATTATAAATTGAAATATGATTTCAAAATTATTTTGCAAATAGTAATAAAATAACAATATTAATCAAGCATTTAAAAGTAATAGTTATTGTGCATGCCTGAACCCATGTAATAAGTACATTGCATACTAATTAAAATAACTCACTGACAGGCTAATTCACAACCTGTCATAAATTTTTGATAAAACTATTCTACTCTAAAAGGTCAGGAATTTATTAAAATAGTGCCTACTCAGCAAGGAAAGAAGAATTACGATGAAATTTCAATCAGTAGGCAAGAGTTGAAGATAAAACCTAATGAGTTTGAGAGGAATTTCAAGAATTTACTAATCCCATGGTAGCTCAAAACGACAGAAAAAAACAAGAAACAGTTTACTCACATGCCTCTCTAAGAGAAAAACAAGAAGTCTCTTTACTTCTGGATGTTGTTGAGGATCTTTTCTGTAAAGTTTTCCAGTGAAGATGACTGCAAGAAAAAAACAACAACAACTTCAGTCTTCTTATTGACACATGTATTTGAAGTAATTTCTCTTACTGACAGATTGTAACTAGGAATAATGCTGAAAATGGAAACAAAATGTTCTCACAGAGAGAAAAAGTAAATCTTTGATTTCAATGCAAGTTTGACTTGTGACTTCAATTCTACTGTAGATAGTTACCGAGAGTGTTGCCATCTTTGTCCTGATTATATGGAAAGAGGAAACCAGCCTCAAGCAATCTGCGGTCAACAGATCTCTCTGTAAGGTCTGCGAGGAGAAAGGAGAATACAGAGAGAAAGATAAAGTGAATGTACACATTATATGTGTATAAATAGACTGAAGCCTTTTGCATCCAGTGGTAAAATAAGGACTGATGATGATGATGATTGATTGTTAACACATTACTGAATATTAAAATGATTTACAAAATTAACAGTTTACTAAAATTGTTTGTTTATACAATCAATTTCAATAAATAATAAAAACTAATGATTATCATTGTAATTACCATTCACTCCAAATGACTTCCTCCATTTTACGCATTCCACCTCAAAAAAGAATATTAAGTACAAAGTTTGTATTAGCCTAAAACTAGTCCTCTTACATCTAATGAAATCAATCCCTGATCATAGTCCCTAATGTCAAAGACAGCAGCAATCCAATAGCCTGGGATTAGTCACAGGCAAGTAAAATTTCTTGGAAAAATGTTTGAAAGATTAAATTTTAGGGGTCTAGTGAAAACAACTTTTGGGCTAGTACATACTACTTATAGCTTGTCCAAAAGGCACGTCAGAAAATAATTTTTCTTTGTACCCTGAATGGTAACATTAGAATACAAAAAGAGATTTATCAGTTTTGGTGCACCTTAAATCACAAAATTGAGATTTATTAATTGCAGGAAATACTGCCTTGTGCAAAAGTGCCCAAAATTGCTCATGGTTCAGTTTGGGATCATGCACATCCCTACCCCTCTCCTCTCTGGACCAATGTGTACTAAAGGCATCCATAGTCGAGTATTGATCGACACCTGGATCGATACCCTCGATGGATAACCGCAATTGACCTTTGATCAACAATCAATCAATACTCGATTAAAACTCCATCGACACCTCGGTTGACACTTGATTGACATCTTGGTCGGCTGCCAGTTGAGAGTAAACTAATTTTTGAACAATGCATATGAGTCTGTCAACAGTCGGCTGACTAATAACTGACTGTTGATTGAGTGTCGATTGAGATGTCAAATATCGAGTTGTCAATCGAATGTCAACAGAGTCAATCAATTAGGATGTCAATTGGGTGTCGATGAAGATGTCAGTCGCAGGTTGATCAAGGGTATCGATTAACACTCAACCGCAGATGCCTTTAGTTCACATGATGCTCCTCTCCTTCCCTCTCACACTCTCTCAAAACTTCTGTCCCATATTGCATCCAGCCCAAAAATGCTGTAAAGAATGCTGAGATCTGCAAATGGGGACAAACAATCAGGAAACAGTGACAACAGCGATTCTGAGTCATTGAAAATCAGTTGTCTTATCTTGAAGATGGCAGTGTTAAAGTAAAACATTCTGGTCTCTGGTCTGATAAATTCTAAAAAAGTTGCATACAGGTGGCAAATGAGCATGGGATCTCTAGATGAAAATAATTAGTAAATCTGACATTATGTATTGATGTACATCTGAATGCATGGAAATCAGTGTGTGAAATTGGACCACAAATGGCAAGTGTCTAACCTCAAACTGCAGACATTTGCAGTAAACTTGGATGTAAAGGCCTTTAATCTCACCCACTCATCCCTTGCTAAGTGTGAGATCCTCCCTCCTCCTCCCCAACAAACCCCAAACTAGCACTCCAGTAGGGTGACCAAAACTGGCCGATTAACTGATTCTTAATAAGAGAATTTTGCCATGAATTCAACGATGAAAGCATTTCCAAACGTCTTCACAACTTACCAAGGCTGGTAACGCATCATTTACTTCCTGTTTACGAGATTTAAGAAAGCAACTCAACCAATGATCGTCATCGCGGACTCGTTTTACATCTTGCTCATGAAAATCCTGCAGGTTTGAACCTAAAATATTAAGGAATGAAAGCTTGTTATCTGTACCGTTATACTGAGTGCCGCTGAAAATGTGATTACTCTGCGACCAGTGCTTGATCAATATTTATCGGTGATAAATTAAAATAAACTATTTTAAGCTTAAAATATGCACACTTAATACACGAACGTGTTCAAAGTAGTACAAAATTATGCATTATTACATTGGTATGCATATATTTTCTTTCACGGAGAGTAAAAGAGCATTCCACTGCCTTCGCAAGATCGAAATCTCACGTTCAAACAAACAAATACTCAGGCCAAGGCAGGGTCGCAGCCAATTGGGCGTGCAAAATTTAGGGTCTTACCGTTTTCATGGAAAAATCGTCGCCTGAGCTCGTTGATCCGATGTCTCTCCAATTCATTCTGATAAAAACAGAGATAAACCGGCGATATTTTACGACCACGAAACCGAAACAAAATGCAAAATAATGTCGAACCTGTTTACCTCGTCTGCCATCTTTGAATCACGAGCGTCTTCGGTTTCTTTCGGGTTTTTAAGTCTATTCCGAACCCTTGCCGATTTTTGTCCTTAGTTCCCAGGTCGCTTCCCTTAGCCGGCGAGGGCTCAGGATTTCATTCCCACGTTTGTCACGCTTTTCATCCATCTGACTATTCAGACCTATTCAGACCTATTCAGACCTATTCAGACCTATTCAGACCTATTCAGGGGCGCGTATCTCGAATTATCCAGAAACTTTTCGGGTCCGCACGGCCATTTTTAGGTAATCTGTATCTAAAAACAGACAGGTGCACAAACCTGAAACTTCCTGTATAAAGGGGCCTCTGTTCATATTTAGCATATGTGAATAAAACAGGAGTCATAAGGCTTTTCCGGTGCGAAAACTCTTCGGGACCTTCGAGAAACGGGCCCCAGATCTGAAGAGCTCACCCACTGGCCTGTGGCAGCAACATAAATTTAAAGTGGAAAAGAAGAATTTCTTTCTTTTGTTTCGTAACAAGAGCTGAGTCGTACCAACTTTATACGACGTTTTTTTGCCCACTGAAAGTAAAGTAACGACCCCCCGAGAGTAACGAGCCCTAAAGGCTGCTACTGTAGTTCCGAAAGTAACGAGAGCCGTTTCTTTCGGAAGTTTACGGAATATACACTAGAAAATTGGTCTCTAAATAAAGTAAACGTTGATCAAGGAGGCTATGCCTCTATTTACCTATATGCAGCACGTAACATGTCGATTATTTCGATAGTCGATAAAAATCGATCATTGTCGATCGTTGTCGATACTAATTAATCGACAAATATCGGAAATCGATAGAAGTCGATCACACAATTTATTGTGATTATCGACTTTGTTCGATTATGATTGATTTTGATCGATTTCAATCGACAAGTATCGGAAATACAAAAAACGATGTAT